GTATATGTATATGTATATTATGTGTATATGTAAATTATGTGTATATGCATATTATGTGTATGTATATATGTGTATGTATATATATGTATGTGTATATATATGTATGTATATATATATGTATATAATATGTATTTTTTTATAATATATATTCTGTTTTAGGGTGGTAACTTCTGGGTTATATTGATGGATAAGTATGCAGCTGATTTCGCTTTACTTATTTATGGACTTTGCGAGTGTATCGGTCTTGGATGGTTGTATGGCGCCAAGCGATTCATCAATGACATTCGTTCCATGATTGGGAATCGGCTTGTTGACACGCGTCTGTTTATGTGGTGGCCCATAAACTGGTGCGCACTCACCCCAGCTGTTTTGTCTGTAAGTACAGTGTTGCACTTGCTTTTGATTATTGTACATTCCTTGTTTTCCTTACTTTAACACATTTGTCACACAAGGGAGTATAAATTGATACCTTTTGAAAGAATTTTTCTGATACAGAGGTAGCTATACTAGTACTATTCACTCAGGGAATGAAGACAGTTGCATAATATTATTTTCCACCCAGTGGCTAGGGAAGAAGGTCTGAGTAATAATTCAGGATATATAATATATGCTGTATATAAGAAAGTGAAATAAATATATAAATAGTATTCTCACTTGATAAACACAATTTTATAGAGATTAAAAATAAATATATTCTTATTTGCTAAAAACTAAATATAAAACTGGATTTTTTTAAATTTTTTAACCTTTTTGTTTTAGTGAATTATATCTGATTTGCTTTTACAGTTTGTTCTGTTATTTAACTGGATTAGCTGGGAACCACCAACGGCTGGTGACACTGAGTTTCCACCATGGGCTCATGTAATTGGATGGTTGATGATCATTTCAACGTTGTTCTGGATCCCGCTTTTCATTGGCATCGAATTCTATAAAACCAGAGGTACTGGTGACAGCCTGATAAATGTAAGTCTTAACACAGTTGTCTAGGTACCTTTGCATAATGGACATTAGGCATTTTTCGTTTTTGACTATGCGGCCAATCTACTAAAAACTAATAGAGCGTAACAGGCATCTGAGCATGCTCACAAACCTTACTGGCTAAATCGGCATTGTTATAGCTTCCGCGACAACCCCAATTTCTGAATTTGGCGTAGTGGCGACTTCCCTAATATTGACCAATCAGATAACTGGATTCTTTGGCAAACTGCTGGAATAGTTTTTGTTAGGGGTTGCAATTTTCATCGTATCCGCAATCGAGCATTGTTCGTTCAATAATGAATTAATTATTAAAACAAGTGAGTGAGTAAATGTTTTATGAAGGCCTATTTATACACATACAATAAATGAGGAATGAATAGTCACAACATAAAATTAGGTAAATCAGGGGGTAGTAAAAAAAAAAGGGGGCCTCTTAGGCTCAGGCTAGCCTAGCCTTGTCAGGATGGATTTCGGGTAGGAGAAAGCACATTATCTGGTGCCGCTAGCTAGGGCATATGCGCCCATGCTATATAAATAACTGTTTAAAATTGTTATGTACATTTATTTGTACATCATCGTTGCAAATTTCCTGAGCAGGACTGACACCCCTCTTCTCCCGGTTCCCGACTCTCTTGACACCACCTAGGCTAGGGTAGGCCTAGATCCCAGGCTTACTACTAGCCAACAGCGAAACGTCACTCGGTGTTTTCTGGAAACTTTTTATTTTGTATACAGTATTTGACTAAAGTTTTTTTTTTCACATTTCCTTTTTCAGATATAAAACAAGGGAACATTGTTCCCTGGTAATAAAACCATGGTCGACTAACTCCTCTCCGTAGGCCCTACATGTGCTGCGGCGTCGTTGTAGTCGCCTTAAAACAACGAAAACAGCTCTTGGTATAGTACGCGAACAATGTCTTGGCATTGCCGTCACAGTCCATTAGTTCGTAGTAGACTGGCCGCGTTTTCAAAACGAAAAATGCCTATTTTCACTAAGCCCTGTACCTTTTGATATTTTTTGTGCCGCCCCCCCAAGCAAAAAAAAAATGACGTTTGGGACCACATGTGTATACTGATCTGGTTGGTCAGATGTTAAATTTAATTGGAATCCCAAAGCCAGCACATGGTTGCTAAATGTTCAACTTGAGTAATTAGCGCAAGCATGTAGCAGTATTGTATACTTTGGCAATTGTACGTCGATTACAGCAACTGATTTTAAAGCTTATAAAGTGGAGAAGATGAATATATTAAGAATTGTCTCATCTCGTTACTAATGCTGGTTTTAGCATGTCAAGGCTCAAACAGCTACACCAGCCTGACCTAGCCTAGCATGGCCTTGCCAATTTTGTAAAAAAAGACCTAAAAATAAAAATCAATCAAAATGCATGTATGTTTTTTTTTAACCTATGTTTTACTGAACTTTATATACAGATTTAAATAAATAGGAGTGAAGGGGAGAATTTAATGGTAGGTTTTAGCCTGTAATAAGTAAGTTATTGTCTTGAGAAACATTCCTAAATAACTTTGGTTCCATTTTCATTTCAATTAGCGTCTTAATACGATGAAAACTTCAAGACCAGAGTGGGGCCCTGCACTGAAGAGAAACAGGAGGCATGCTATTGAAGTGCATAGGGCATATGGTACTGAAATGGGAGGCACCGCAGAGATTAAAACACCAGTTTGCAATGGGTACTCACCAGTTACGTGCATCCCAGCAAGCACCGAGAAACAAGCTAATGTTTGAGGATAGTTAGATTGAGCGTTCCAATGTGCCTGTGATTACGGCGCAGTGGGAACCCAAGTGCGCTTGTGGTCACAGGTGCATTGGAATGCAAAAGAGGTGGGAATTAAAACAAAATCATTTCAGAAAAATATTGAAAAACGGGGCAAAATGGACTGTTCAGATGAAGGAATAGGGCTAATGTGTTTGTATGCACCATTGAAAATTACAATTATTGAAATTTTTTAATGAACAACTCGGTATTTTTTTAGTGTGTTCTTTTGTTCAGTGATGAATTAACGCGAGTCACACATCCCACAAAATATCTATATTTTTAAAAAAAAATTCAGTAAAAAAGCACTTCCACATGAATTATAAATAATTAAAATGGTATTGATGCCCATCGGCGCATTATTAAAATCGACGAATTAGTTTCGCTCCGATATTTGGCGTAGTGGCTGAAAATTGGATGCCAAATATCAGGGGTGAAGACAAGTGGTTGTTCTTAAGTGAAGTTTGTTGAGTTGAAAAGTTAACATCTTTTTGTAATATGTAATGCAATACTTCAATAGTTTGTAGTGCGGATTCACAAATCAGTGGCGGATCCAGGGGGTTGAGTGGGTTCAGACGAACCCCCTCTGTGAAGAAACGTATAAAAATACTACTAAGACTTGGCCTACAAAAGCCATGCTATTCCACCTAGGCATAGGTTGGCAGATCAGACAAGCAAGCCTTAGCCTAACTAATCTTCAATTACACTGTTTTTGGTTCAATGTCGTAAATATAATTTTTGTATGAAAGTGCGTTATTCATGCCTATTGGTTCATCAATCCATGAAAAAAAGGATACGTAGGCCTATCCAACTACTCAATATTGGAATATAGTGTCTTTGATTTTTTTTTTCTTTTTAATAGGCCTATTTACTGTAATAAGAATGAGATAAAATTACCTGACCATTCTCGAGAGGGGAAAACCTTGAATTTTGAATAACTTAAAAAGTCATTAAAAGACAACTCAGAAGTCGGAAAAGCTCATTTCCAGCCATCTAGAAATCAAAATCTTCCCAGGGAGAACCCCGGACCCACTCCCTCAAATCCTGGATCCGCCCCAGCAGATTATTTATTTGTTTGCTTGTACAGTATGTTGAGCTTCCCAAGGTTGTAGAATTATTTATTTCTGAGGTTTGTTGCCATAGTTATTTATATCTGCCATATTTTACCCCCCAGAGTGTTAGCTGTCACTGGCGACAAAGTCTTTAACGAATGTACTGATAAAATAAACTTTTAAAAAAAAATAATTTAAAAAAAAAATTAAAAATATGATATAATTAAAATGCAAATTATTATCCTTTAAATCCACATTTAATGTTCGGGAAGGAATTTGTAGTATGTGGTGGCATTGTATAATTTAATTTTTATTTCTAGTTTAGATTAAGATTTTTATTTAGTATTACTTTTTAGGCCAATGGTGGTTAAATTACGCAAGGACCACCAATAAAGTAAGTTGATGAGGGAGTATGAGTTTAAATACATCAAAATGGTGTAAAAATTTGATAATGAATATTATGTACACAAAGTGGATAACAGACAAATGAAAAACTTAATGGGGTAATGCTAGTAAACCTGTTTGTCACCCTCATTCAACTAGCTACAACAAGCCAGGCCCAAATCTAACCCTGACTGCACACAATTACTGTACAGGTAATTGTTGTATATGAACCAATTTGGGCCTACAGGTGGTTAAGATTACTGTGCATTAAATAAAAATTGGGGAAAAAATATATTTAAAAAAATAGAGTAAAAAAAAGACAGCTTTTTATAGCTACTAATTTTTATTTAATAAATCAAATATACAATTTCAACAACTTCCAATTCTAAAAAATCGGCGAAAAAGATCGCTTTGCCAAACTGGTTAAACCAGTACTACTAATAAAAATCACCCAGTTTGTATAATGAGGCTATTAAAAATTCATGGCTTTTATTCGATTCTCAGTTAAAATTACATATTCACTATAAAGTGTGTATGTGTGTATTATATATATTATATACCTGTACTATATTATATATATTGGTTTATATTATATATAATTGTATACAGTATATACAATATGGATTAGTATGCAAGAATGTTATTCCTCTTATTTTCTAAGAAATAGTATATGTACTACCAACTTAATTGTAAAACTGAGTTACAGACCATCTCGGTCGATTCAAAATTATTGCAGTTGCAAAGAGATCTGTTTGTTCTGACTTTTAATACTGTCTATTGTGCTAACCCGGGAAAGTTGTCATAAATTTTAGGGTGGAATATCATTTTAGTGCATATGTTTCAAAGTACTCCTGTTTACAGTCACTCGTAGCATGTATTTAACATTTTGAATGTTAAACCGTTAATTTCTACCCTGCTTTACAGTGGACCGAAATCGATGGTCGGCTAAGTTGAGTAGAAAGAATGATTTCCTAATGTAATCTACAGTTTATGACAGCAACTACAATGCAACTTATTCATTTATTGGCTTTAAATATGAAATTGTAAAAAAAAAAATGAAAAAAACTTGAAAGAAAAGCATGTTGACTTTACGGTTAACATGCACCAAAAAAAAAAGAGTAATCAACAAAACATTGTGTAGTAATTGATAGATAAAATCTAGTTGATAGATAAAAAGATAGTTGATAGATAAAATCTTAGAAATGAAAACTGTAAAATTGTAATTTGTAGAGTAAAACGTGAATATTTCATCATTGCAATGGAATTTGCCATTTATTTTACTGCTACCAAAATGGACTCCAGCAAGATTGTATGAACTGTGTAGCAACTTTCCTCATAGACGAAACGTTTGAAGTCCCGAAAATGTCATAGAAACAACTGCAAAAAATGCAAATATTAAAACAATCCAACGAGTATGGTATTATTAGAGGGGCGGTAACCATTGTATTTATAGTAAGTCTCATCTATGGAATATTAAGCTCTTTACACCTTATAAAATTTTATATTTGACAAATATGCTATTTGCCTAGTTAGAAAGGTGAGGTCATGTTATACCCATACATGGGCAAGTGATTTATTGTTTGTCACAAACAAAATGTGATAGTTATAAACTAAGGTATGAAATAATTTTAGTAACTGTTAGTTGGTGGTTAGGCTGTTTGTATGCATGTAGTTTAGGAATGTAATCTTACAGTCTGAATAAGGTATGTATGACTTTGTATATATTTAAATTCCGAGAGCCTGTTGGTATGTTCTTAATGGTATTGCAATCTGTTAAAAGGCACTATGCCTGTAGCTTCTTTCACAAAAAAAAAGAAAGGTTTTTCTGTATTTGGTTAAAATTTCGTTAAAAATAATGATACAGTATTAATGGCACTACCATTACATTTTTGCCAAACACAAACATTGTGTGGAATTAAATACCTTGGTGGTTAGGGTGCATGACTTTCAATCCCAGTGTCCTGGGTTCAATTCCTGTGACGGCAGTATTTTTTTCTCAAGACTAAAAATCCACTCTTCCCCTGAGCTGCATTATGAGTTGTTAAAAGCATTAACTGGGCCCTGTTGGAAAACAGTAGACATCTACTATACATGTTACCCAGTATAAAGAATAAACACTTAAAAGTTATATTTGTATGTATATAGATGATTATGAAACATAGGTAAGTGATTAAAAGGGATTAGGAATTGGGTTCGACTGTGAATAGGTGTGGGACTGTGGGCTGGGACTTATTGGTGGAAAATGTATATAGTATGAAAAATCTCAACATGTAATAGATGTTATTTTAAGTTTATCCTATTTTTTAATAATAAAGATGTTTAAATAATAATTAGAATTTTCAAAGAAGCCAGGACATTATGGAGAAGATGTCAAAAGTGTGGTGGGGACGTACTAGGCTTATACCAACCCCTTGAAGGTTTTTGTTAATGAGACAACTAATTCCCTGGTTTCATAGCCTAGGAATTAAAGGCAGAATGTTTTAGTACACAATCTGGTTTACTTTTAGCAATCTAAATGTACCTTGCTGTTGTACTTAATGACATCAAACTTCATATGGGTAAAGTGGAGTATAGGCCATCAGATTTTTATCCAACATTCAGACATTGTCTGACAGATATCAAATTCTGTATACCCAGAAAAAACGCTAAAATAATAGGTCATAATAGTGGTACTGTATTATACATTGATCTTGATTTCTTAATATCTATTTGATTGACACACGGTTATTGCCATTTTACTCGAAGTATTTATTTTCGTTGTACAGACATTAAAAAATATAAATTGCAGCCCATATCCCAAAGGGATGCTTATCAGGGTAAAGTCACACATACACTATCAGATGTTTGTTATACTCAACAATATTTGATGAGATTTTTCCTGATGAAACAATTATTCTAGCTCCTGCTAACAACGTAATAGTGTTGGATGTGTCTAAATCAAGCTTTCACTATCTAGAAGTTTGATACTGTACTTTGTTGAGTCTAACATACAAAATCTGATACTGTTTGTCTGGCTTATTACTTAAAAGACAGTACTTTGATTCTATTACAGTTATAGTTTAAATTAATATACACTGTAACAAGTGCTAAATTGTGTTTTTTTTTTGTTTTTTGTTTTATGCATATGAATTTGTCACTAAGTTTGTACATATTTTTTTTTCTTTAAATAGGTAGTTAAGAAGTATCTTCTTCATTCTCTATTTTAACATCCTTAATTTCAAAATCATTTTGAAAGTTTACTCATCTAAGTTTTAGATGCAAATCAATGCACGATATAGAAGCATATTTGTCTTGACAAAACATTCATATAAATGTCATAGATTTAAGAGTAAGTCATTTATCTTCCTGTAAATACAAGTGGCTGTATACTTGATGTGTTTTTGGTGTTTTAGTTAGTTGGTAACTTTTTAGTCATTACTACCTCTAGGCTTATGTAGGTCTATAGCCTTCTAGAATCTATTGATCTAAAAAAAAATGCTTTGATAATTATATTTTTGTTGGCTTGCCAACCAAAATCAATTATCAAGTACTGTACAGTAATGTATTTCTTGTTACTATTAACTTGGCTTTTATGCTGTCTAAAATTGTGCCCAAGTAGCACAAAATAATTAAAGTAATTATTTCTACTAAATTTGTATTATAATGTATATACAGTTTAATTTCATCACGTACCCCATCAAATATTATTTTTCCGACCGATGTCAGTATAGGTCCAGACATCTAGTTTGATGTTATGTTAGGGAGATTTTGCAAACTTATGGAAACGATTACCGTCATCCGTGCCTGCAACATTCTTGACAATACAGTATACAAACGAGCTGAATAAAGATCGTTAATTCACGCACGGAGGTATAATTCACGCCTGCGTTGTAACAATGGATTGATTACAAATTTGATGACGTAACCGTATTCGTTATCGTTTTCGTAAGTGTGCAAGACCTCCCTAATATTATTAATGTTGCGTGACAGTATGATTAATCATGTAAACGTTTGTATTCAAGTAAACCTATTCATTATTACTTTTTACAGACATCGGTAATGTCACTTTTAATTTGTTTCAGAACTAGATTTCATTTGGACTAAGTTATTCTGATTGTTATGCTGCTTAAGTCGAAAGGTTTTTAGTGTTGGTTATTTTCTTGTGCCAAAATGGACAAATCACAATATGGTACCATTGTTTGTGGTCTTTAATTTTTTATTGTATTTTCATTTAAAGGGGTATGAATGAAATTTCAATAAATACATTTCTTTAATTGGAAATCGGTTTTTGATTTGGTTTTGTTGATATACTGTATCTACCGTTATGGCTCCCTCGCAAACGTGTGGATTTTATTCTGATTCTAACCAAACCAACCCCACCAGATACTCGTTTATACTCCGAGGTGGAGAAAAGCAATGCAGATGAAGTTACTTGCTCAAGAACACAAACGAAATGCACAGCGAGTGATTGAAACTTGCCCCAACTTCGAGGTTAATGGAGGGCCCCGGCCTTATAGTCTGTTAACTTTTCATAATTTGTCGCTTGTATCTTATTGAGCAAATTCTCTTGTAAATTTCATTAGCCACCCTTCTGTTCACCATTGAATCTTCAGTTTTTATAGTCGGGAATTGTTTTTGTATATGGGAAAAAAAAACAACCTTCCCGCGCACACCCTAGATACCCCACTGCGTAGCATATCCCGCAATTTACACTATGGTCAGGGGGCGCCAGTATTCCGATGGCGGGTGGCCGATGTCCCCGACGAGAGCAAAGTGGGCGTAGTCGGGCGTCACTTAATTTTTTTCCCCAAAGTGATACAGGGGAACCCCCCGAAAAATATAACAATTTAGTGGGTTCAAAGGTTTATTTAGTTGATTTTATATATAGAAAACACATTTACACCCCCCCCCCCTACGGGGCGCAATCCCTGCCTACGGGCCGCTACTGAGACCTACAGTAATACAGAACTATTTTGCATAATCGAGGTATGCATATTTCTGTTGGGTGGGAGATTACAGATTTTTGTGCCGATTTACTTTATAGCGAGTATAGTATAGATATATTTTAAAAGATATGAACCGTCGTCAATTCAAATATCAAACTGAAGTAAAGTTATTGTTATAAAAACGGATTGGATCTTATCAGGTATTGTAGATTCCAATATATATATGTATATATATATATACATACATATACATATATATAATGTATATATATATAACTCAATGAAAAAGACGATGAGATGTCAACGACTTGGAGACTTTGAACACAAATTTTATTCAAAACATGAATATTTCAA